CGCGCTCCGTAGCCGTCAGTTGTGGAACGTAAGCAGTAGAGAGAACATTCGCGTGGATTGGTGTAGTGGTACTTAACTGTAACATCGCTTCAAAATGTAAGTTTTAATTATACCAGTGTCTAAGTGTGTCGTCCGAATGTATGGCATGTTTAAAGTAGTGGAAACCGTCGACATGTCAGACCACCTTTAAAATGATCGATTTCCGACGTCTGTTTCTCACATAAGTCCTTGCCATCCGGATTTTTTTTCTATATGCGATAAAGATAGATAGTTATATGGGCGAAGTTATATCATATAGAAGGAGGTGTTCGCCCCGATGTTCAGTTTACATGATTCCGAATAAAGTATTCTGGGACCATTCGAAGTGTACTAGTTACCAACCTCACTCTAATACAGTGTTGTTCTGTCTTGGTTTAGTCGACAGAAAAAGAAATCTTGTTCAAGTGCAGTGATCAATGAGTTATTAGTGATGATAATGGTTGCAAGAAGACGAAGAAGAACGAAAAATATTAGTCTGACACGAAAGAGATATCAACATGTAAGGCGTACAGATAAAGCATATGATTTTATTTTATTTTTTTCGTGGAATAAAAGTTAATGATATATATATTTCCCTTTTGTTTTTCCTCTGTATTTCGATAGATTCCAAACCAAAACGTATGAAACAATGAAACTGCACAAAGTATTTGACATTTTATTATATTGTATATTTGTATAATAATGCGAAAGTGTTTGCCAATCATTAAAATAAATCTGTTCAGTTTATGGATTTGAGAAACGGGTCAGTCAGTCAGTCGGTCAGCTAGCCAGTCAGTCGGTCAGCTAGCCAGTCAGTCGGTCAGCTAGACAGTCAGTCGGTCAGCTAGCCAGTCAGTCGGTCAGCTAGCCAGTCAGTCGGTCAGCTAGCCAGTCAGTCGGTCAGCTAGCCAGTCAGTCGGTCAGCTAGCCAGTCAGTCGGTCAGCTAGCCAGTCAGTCGGTCAGCTAGCCAGTCAGTCGGTCAGCTAGCCAGTCAGTCGGTCAGCTAGCCAGTCACTCGGTCAGTCAGCCAGCTAGTCAGTCAGCCAGCCAACCAGCCAGTCAGTCAGTCAGTCAGTCAGTCAGTCAGTCAGCCAGCCAGCCAGCTAGTCAGTCAGCCAGCTAGTCAGTCAGTCAGTCAGCCAGCTAGTCAGTCAGTCAGTCAGCCAGCTAGTCAGTCAGTCAGTCAGTCAGCCAGCTAGTCAGTCAGTCAGCCAGCTAGTCAGTCAGTCAGTCAGTCAGTCAGTCAGCCAGCTAGTCAGTCAGTCAGTCAGTCAGTCAGCCAGCTAGTCAGTCAGTCAGTCAGTCAGTCAGCCAGCTAATCAGTCAGTCAGCCAGCTAGTCAGTCAGTCAGTCAGCCAGCTAGTCAGTCAGCCAGCTAGTCAGTCAGCCAGCCAGCTAGTCAGTCAGTCAGTCAGTCAGCCAGCTAGTCAGTCAGTCAGTCAGCCAGCTAGTCAGTCAGTCAGCCAGCTAGTCAGTCAGTCAGTCAGCCAGCTAGTCAGTCAGTCAGTCAGCCAGCTAGTCAGTCAGTCAGTCAGTCAGCCAGCTAGTCAGTCAGTCAGTCAGCCAGCTAGTCAGTCAGTCAGCCAGCTAGTCTCAGTCAGTCAGTCAGCAGCCAGCTAGTCAGTCAGCAGTCAGTCAGCCAGCCAGCTAGTCAGTCAGTCAGCCAGCTAGTCAGTTCAGTCAGCCAGCCAGCTAGTCAAGTCAGTCAGCCAGCTAGTCAGTCCAGTCAGCCAGCTAGTCAGTCAGCCAGCCAGCTAGTCCGTCAGTCAGCCAGCTAGTCAGTCAGTCAGTCATCCAGCCAGCTAGTCCAGTCAGTCAGTCAGCCAGCTAGTCAGTCATCAGTCAGTCAGTCATCCAGCTAGTCAGTCAGTCAGCCAGCTAGTCAGTCAGTCAGTCCAGTCAGCCAGCTAGTCCAGTCAGTCAGCCAGATAGTCAGTCAGTCAGTCGTCAGTCAGCCAGCTAGTCAGTCAGTCAGCAGCTAGTCAGTCAGTCAGTCAGAGCCAGCTAGTCAGTCCAGTCAGTCAGCCAGCTAGTCAGTCAGTCAGTCAGTCAGCCAGCTAGTCAGTCAGTCAGTCAGCCAGCTAGTCAGTCAGTCAGTCAGCCAGCTAGTCAGTCAGTCAGTCAGTCAGCCAGCTAGTCAGTCAGTCAGTCAGCCAGCTAGTCAGTCAGTCAGTCAGTCAGCCAGCTAGTCAGTCAGTCAGTCAGCCAGCTAGTCAGTCAGTCAGTCAGTCAGCCAGCTAGTCAGTCAGTCAGCCAGCTAGTCAGTCAGTCAGTCAGTCAGCCAGCTAGTCAGTCAGTCAGTCAGTCAGCCAGCTAGTCAGTCAGTCAGCCAGCTAGTCAGTCAGTCAGTCAGTCAGTCAGTCAGTCAGTCAGTCAGTCAGCCAGCCAGCTAGTCAGTCAGTCAGCCAGCTAGTCAGTCAGTCAGTCAGTCAGCCAGCTAGTCAGCCAGCTAGTCAGTCAGTCAGTCAGCCAGCTAGTCAGTCTGTCAGCCAGCTAGTCAGTCTGTCAGCCAGCTAGTCAGTCAGTCAGTCAGCCAGCTAGTCAGTCAGTCAGTCAGTCAGCCAGCTAGTCAGTCAGTCAGCCAGCTAGTCAGTCAGTCAGTCAGCCAGCTAGTCAGTCAGTCAGTCAGTCAGCCAGCTAGTCAGTCAGTCAGCCAGCTAGTCAGTCAGTCAGTCAGCCAGCTAGTCAGTCAGTCAGCCAGCTAGTCAGTCAGCCAGCCAGCCAGCCAAATGTGTGGATACCCTTACACAAACGGGAGTACATACACATTACACACACACACATACACATTACACACACACACACACATACGCATTACACACACACACACAAACACATTACACACACACACACAAACACATTACACACACACACACAAACACATTACACACACACACACATACACATTACACACACACACACATACACATTACACACACACACACATACACATTACACACACACACACATACACATTACACACACACACACATACACATTACACACACACACACATACACATTACACACACACACACATACACATTACACACACACACACATACACATTACACACACACACACATACACATTACACACACACACACATACATATTACACACACACACATACACATTACACACACACACATACACATTACACACACACACATACACATTACACACACACACATACACATTACACACACACACATACACATTACACACACACACACACACACATACACATTACACACACACACACACACACATACACATTACACACACACACACACACACATACACATTACACACACACACACACACATACACATTACACACACACACACACACACATACACATTATACACATTACACACACACACACACATACACATTACACACACACACACACACACACACACACACATACATACACATTACACACACACACACATACACATTACACACACGTAACACGAACAAAACACACACACGTACAAGCACGCACGCACGCAAATAATACGCACGAACATAACATACACGCACTCACGCACGCCTTTTCCTCCTCCTGCCTATCCTTGACTCTCTCTACTCCTCTTCCCTCCCATCCAATCTCTCTCTCCTTCTCTTCCATCCTCTCCCTTTCTCTCTCTCTTCTCTTCTTCCTTCCTCTCCCTTTCTCTCTCTCCTCTTCTTCCTTCCTCTCCCTTTCTCTCTCTCTTCTCTTCTTTCTTCCTCTCCCTTTCTCTCTCTCCTCTTCTTCCTTCCTCTCCCTTTCTCTCTCTCTTCTCTTCTTCCTTCCTCTCCCTTTCTCTCTCTCTTCTCTTCTTCCTTCCTCTCTCTCCTCTTCTTCCCTCGTCTCCCTTTCTCTCTCTCTTCTCTTCTGCTCTTCCCTCCTCTCCCTTTCTCTGTCTCTCTCTCTCTCTTCTGCTCTTCCCTCCTCTCCCTTTCTCTGTCTCTCTCTCTCTCTTCTGCTCTTCCCTCCTCTCCCTTTCTCTGTCTCTCTCTCTCTCTCTTCTGCTCTTCCCTCCTCTCCCTTTCTCTGTCTCTCTCTCTCTCTTCTGCTCTTCCCTCCTCTCCCTTTCTCTGTCTCTCTCTCTCTCTCTTCTGCTCTTCCCTCCTCTCCCTTTCTCTGTCTCTCTCTCTCTCTTCTGCTCTTCCCTCCTCTCCCTTTCTCTGTCTCTCTCTCTCTCTTCTGCTCTTCCCTCCTCTCCCTTTCTCTGTCTCTCTCTCTCTCTTCTGCTCTTCCCTCCTCTCCCTTTCTCTGTCTCTCTCTCTCTCTCTTCTGCTCTTCCCTCCTCTCCCTTTCTCTGTCTCTCTCTCTCTCTTCTGCTCTTCCCTCCTCTCCCTTTCTCTGTCTCTCTCTCTCTCTTCTGCTCTTCCCTCCTCTCCCTTTCTCTGTCTCTCTCTCTCTCTTCTGCTCTTCCCTCCTCTCCCTTTCTCTGTCTCTCTCTCTCTCTTCTGCTCTTCCCTCCTCTCCCTTTCTCTGTCTCTCTCTCTCTCTTCTGCTCTTCCCTCCTCTCCCTTTTTCTGTCTCTCTCTCTCTCTTCTGCTCTTCCCTCCTCTCCCTTTCTCTGTCTCTCTCTCTCTCTTCTGCTCTTCCCTCCTCTCCCTTTCTCTGTCTCTCTCTCTCTCTCTTCTGCTCTTCCCTCCTCTCCCTTTCTCTGTCTCTCTCTCTCTCTCTTCTGCTCTTCCCTCCTCTCCCTTTCTCTGTCTCTCTCTCTCTCTTCTGCTCTTCCCTCCTCTCCCTTTCTCTGTCTCTCTCTCTCTCTCTTCTGCTCTTCCCTCCTCTCCCTTTCTCTGTCTCTCTCTCTCTCTCTTCTGCTCTTCCCTCCTCTCCCTTTCTCTGTCTCTCTCTCTCTCTCTTCTGCTCTTCCCTCCTCTCCCTTTCTCTGTCTCTCTCTCTCTCTCTTCTGCTCTTCCCTCCTCTCCCTTTCTCTGTCTCTCTCTCTCTCTCTTCTGCTCTTCCCTCCTCTCCCTTTCTCTGTCTCTCTCTCTCTCTCTTCTGCTCTTCCCTCCTCTCCCTTTCTCTGTCTCTCTCTCTCTCTCTTCTGCTCTTCCCTCCTCTCCCTTTCT